AGGAGGAGATTAGGGTGGATAGGGGGAGGATGTAGGGTGAATTGGGGGTAGGGGAGGGTGTCAATCAATCAAAATCAGTAATGAGAGTGCAAAGGGGAAGGGGGAAGGGAGGATAGGGGACAGGGAGGCATGGGGTGGGCCCCAGCCTCCTATTCCATCCCACCAAGTCCCCATTCCTAGCTTGTCATTCGTTATTGATGGCTATACCCATGGTGGCACTAGGGGATGGTAGTGGGGGAAGGGGGGGTGGTTTATGGGGGGTTATAGGAAATGGGGGGGGGATATTTGGGAGTGGTGAGAGGCAGTTGGGTGGGTTTGCACTGGTAGCTGATTGGAGTTTCGGGTTATTTGAAAATGGTGGTTGACAGAAGGTATGGGTGGTTGGAAGGGGGGGGTTAATTGCAGCCGGCAGTGACCCTAATTGGTATAGGTTGCAGTGGTGGATAATAATAATAATAATGGAGGTACTGATGGCAACATCATTCGCGTTGCACATATCAAGAAATTTCAAAGTTTTTTTCCAGGCAACATATCAACATAACTGCAAGGGTTTTCCATGCAACATATGACAAACTTTTCAGTTATGTTTATATCACTGAAAAACAAAATACCAATTGTATTTACCCATCCTAAACGGTGAAATAGGCAAATAATAGGCGATCTTAGCTCAAAAAGTAGTCCGTCAATGCATGCAAAAGTACAGTGATTTAAAAAAAATAGCAATGAGGAAGTCTTGGTTGCATGAAGAACTAAGAAATCCATTTACCTCAGTAAACTTAATTATATTAGTAACGTTGCAAATTAATAATAACATTGCAAATTATTAATAACATATTGAAAATTAATAATAACATTGCAAATTATTAATAACATATTACAAATTAATAATAACATTGCAAATTATTAATAACATATTGAAAATTAATATTCCAAATTATTAATAAGATATAAAACAGTATCTCCCTGAATATCACATCGCTACATAAAAGCCCAAATAGTCTTTTGGTCTTATGTTTACTAAGTTTAAATAAAAGGTTTGTGGTAACAATGACAAAAGTTTAGCATAATTTTTACCAACAATTAAAAAAAAAAAAATTTTTTGCTCCGATCAAATATGAAAATATTTAAGAAAATCAAGCAATTTCAGTGTTGAAATTGAAATAATTTTATTGAGGTAAAATACACACAAAGGGATGAGGTAGCTATTTCAACGTTAAACCCAAGGAAGAGAGACGGGACTATGGGGAAAGGCGATGGGATGGGAGGCACTGGGATGGGAACCACTGGGAAGGTAGGCACTGAGGCAATGAAAAGAAGAAAGAGGTAATTTTAGGGTTCATTGAAACATATTTTCAGTTTGGACCCGAGAAAGTCTGCCTCCTCCGACCTGTCACAGGTGCGTCTCCTTGCGGAATATTGCATTCAATCTTAGGACACCTTACTGGAAAGGACATATTGACCGCCGGGGGAAAAAAAAGTGTTTTGAAGGAGGATATTGATCGCCTGGATGGTAATAGGTGTTTTGAATGACGATGTTATTGACCGTCTGGAAGATGTTAAGGAGAATATTATCCTCCTGAAAGATGTTTTGAAGGGGAATATTGACCTGGAAGATGCTTCGAAGAAGTATGTTGATCTGTAAGATGTTTTCGAAGGAGTATATTGACCAGGAGCCAAAAACCGAGACAGAGAGTCCAGACAGACAGACAGACAGAGATGAAGGAAAGAGGGGGAACATAGAACACTAGAATTATACAGGGAAATAGTGATAATAATTTAAACACTGAACAGATATACAACCAGAGAGAGAGAGAAAGGGAAAACATTGTTGTCCTTTCGTAATCCTTGTCTCTCCCTCTCTCTCTCTCTCTCTCTCTCTCTCTCTCTCTCTCTCTCTCTCTCTCTCTCTCTCTCTCTCTCTCTCTCTCTCTCTCTCTCTCTCTCTTTCAGTTAAATTATTCCCTCTCTCTCTCCCTTCCCCCTCAGATGGTTGCCATTGGCTCCACACACATTATTCTCCCCCTGTGCCCAACCTCCCTTGTGTCCCCTTACTTCCTGTTGTCATTCCTCACCTCCCCTCTTCCTCTCTCTCTCTCTCCCCTCTCTCTTATCTCCTCTCCCCCTCAAGATCTCCTTATCAGTCCCCTCGTGTTACTCTTTATCTTCTCTCGTTTGCTATGAATCTTACCCACTCTCTCTCTCTCTCTCTCTCTCTCTCTCTCTCTCTCTCTCTCTCTCTCTCTCTCTCTCTCTCTCTCTCTCTCTCTCTCTCTCTCTCGCTCACACACAAGATGAAGGAGATAGAGTGTGAAAGAGAGGAAGGGGAAAGACTGATGAAAATAGGGAGGAAAAACATGAACTAAAGTGAGATAGACAAGAAGGAAAGTAGAAGGGTAGAAAGCAAGCAGATGAAATTGGGAAGGAAACAGAGAATGGATTAATCAAGAGAACTGGAAGGAGGGAAAATGGGGAATAGGAGCAAAGGTGGATAGAAGCCAGGGTGAATAGAAGCCATGGTGGATAGAAGCCAGGGTGGATAGAAGCCAGGGTGGATAGAAGCCAGGGTGAATAGAAGCCAGGGTGGATAGAAGCCAGGGTGAATAGAAGCCAGGGTGAATAGGAGCCATGGTGAATAGAAGCCATGGTGGATAGAAGCCATGGTGGATAGAAGCCAGGGTGAATAGAAGCCAGGGTGAATAGGAGCCAGGGTGGATAGAAGCCAGGGTGAATAGAAGCCAGGGTGGATAGAAGCCAGGGTGGATAGAAGCCAGGGTGAATAGAAGCCAGGGTGGATAGAAGCCAGGGCGAATACTCGTTTCAACTCAAATAAATTCTAAAATTAAGGAGCCGAAGAGATCCAAATCTTGATAAATGGCGTGAGTGAGAGAATCGTTAGGGGGAATGACGAATATAAGATAAAGTGGAGGAGATAGAGGGAGGTGGAGAGGAGATTGGAGAGACAGTCGTTGGAGAGGTGGTACTAGCCTTGATTAACTACTGGTTTTCCTTTGAGTGTGGTGCTGTGGTTCTGTAATTGGCATGATTGGTGTGGTGGTGGTGTGTGGTGGTTCGTAATGGGCATGATTGGTGTGGTGGTGGTGGTGGTGTGTGGTGGTACTCACCTAGTTGTACTCACGTAGTTGTGATTGCAGGGGGGTTGAGCTCTGGCTCTTTGGTCCCGTCTGTCAATTGTCAATCAACAGGTGTACAGGTTCTTGAGTCTACTGCAGGTGTTGGGGTGGTGATGGAGGTGGGGTAGATTATAGGTTTACTAAGGTCCCTACCCCCCTTCCGTTGTTCCCCTTTCCGTTGCAACCTCCCGTTCCGCACTCCCGGTCTACCCTCCCGTTCCACCTTATCGGTCCACCTTCCCCCCTTTCCTTCCCTCCCATTGCAGACTCCTGTTATACCCTCTTTTCCACTATCCCGTCCCACGCCTCCTTCCTCCTTGTCCTCGATACGCCCAACACTTCACCGCTTTTCGTATCACCCATTCCATCCCCCCTCCCATCCCAGCCCCTCCTCGCCCCTTTCTTTCCCATCCCAGACCCTCCCCGTCCCTTCCCAGCCCAGCTGAGCTCAACCCCTCCCACGTCATCCCACGCAATCGATCACCCATTTCTCTTTTCAGCAATATTTACTTCCTGTTCCGCCCACTCTGCACCCTGTTCCGTCTCTCCTGCACCCTGTTCCGCCTCTACCCCCTCTCTTTCTAACTCCACCCTTTCCACACACCCTCCCCGACTCTCTCTCTACACTTTCTAGAAAGACTCGATACCATTCGTTTTGTTTTTCGATAATATGATACCTTAGCAAAATACATAGTGATCATTCATACATATTGCTCTGTATTTAGATTTTTTTTTTTTTTTTGGACAGTAAATACCAGACAGTCAAATTGTGTTTTCGGTTATATATGAGTCAGTTGGGTGTCCCTGTTTGGCCACCAGAGCAGTGTTCCCTTCCTGTTTGTTCGGTGTGTCAAATAAGTTGTACTAGTTATTGAATCATTGTTACCGCTTTACTCGCCACAAACCACCACTTTTTTACTCACCCGTCAAATATACCCATACTCACACCTACTTAACAACACTAGACTCATGCTTGTTCACCGCGATAGTTCATCCTCCAATGCCTCACTCACCTCTTCAGTACCCAAGACCTCACTCAACCTGTCTTACTCATCCCTCTTGCTCATTCACCCCCCTTCCCATACCTCACCTCTCCCCTGGCTCTTGAGGTTATCTTGAGGTTATCTTGAGATGATTTCGGGGCTTTAGTGTCCCCGTGGCCCGGTTCTCGACCAGGCCTCCACCCCCAGGAAGCAGCCCGTGACAGCTGACTAACACCCAGGTACCTATTTTACTGCTAGGTAACAGGGGCATAGGGTGAAAGAAACTCTGCCCATTGTTTCTCGCCGGCGCCTGGGATCGAACCCAGGACCAAAGGATTACAAGCCCAGCGTGCTGTCCGCTCGGCCGACCGGCTCACTCACACCTCACAAACGGTCTTAGCTCCTACAGCCTATTTTTCGAAGTAGTCAACAACCTTGAAAATATATAAAATAAAATAAAATAATAAAATAAAATGTTTATTCAGGTAAGGTTCTGTAGGCCTCTGGGGGCCTCGTAGCCTGGTGGATAGCGCGCAGGACTCGTAATTCTGTGGCGCGGGTTCGATTCCCGCACGAGGCAGAAACAAATGGGCAAGTTTCTTTCACCCTGAATGCCCCTGTTACCTAGTAGTAAATAGGTACCTGGGTGTTAGTCAGCTGTTACGGGCTGCTTCCTGGGGGTGGAGGCCTGGTCGAGGACCGGGCCGCGGGGACACTAAAGCCCCGAAATCATCTCAAGATAACCTCAAGAAGGTACATACATACAAGAGATTTTACATAAATTAAAAAAATCTATCTTGATATCAAGTCTTGTTGTCCATTACACTCGATAGATGAAACGTTTCATCTATCGATGAAACCGGATGATTAAAGCTTGAGCTTGATGATGTGGCGCCCCTCCTCCTTCTCCTCCAGCAGCAACAGCAACATTAAGGGGGCCGGAAGCAACAGCAGCAGCAACAGCAACATTAAGGGGGCCGGAAGCAACAGCAGCAGCAACAGCAACATTAAGGGGGCCGGAAGCAACAGCAGCAGCAACAGCAACATTAAGGGGGCCGGAAGCAACAGCAGCAGCAACAGCAACATTAAGGGGGCCGGAAGCAACAGCAGCAGCAACAGCAACATTAAGGGGGCCGGAAGCAACAGCAGCAGCAACAGCAACATTAAGGGGGCCGGAAGCAACAGCAGCAGCAACATCGCTCAACACACCGTAGTGTATGATGCAACAGGCAACGCCTGGCGAAGCAGCGCCTCTTCCTGTAAAGAACCTTCAAGCGAACCGCCGCCGGAACTGATCTGTTTTAAGGAAAACGTCAACAGAACCGATCTATTTCAAGGGAACCATCAACAGAACCGATCTATTTCAAGGGAAACGTCAACAGAACTGATCTATTTTAAAGGAAACGTCAACAGAACCGATCTATTTCAAGGAAAACGTCAACAGAACTGATCTATTTCAAGGGAACCGTCAACAGAACCGATCTATTTCAAGGGAAACGTCAACAGAAGCGATCTATTTCAAGGGAAACGTCAACAGAAGCGATCTATTTCAAGGGAACCATCAACAGAACCGATCTATTTCAAGGGAACCGTCAACAGAACCGATCTATTCAAGGGAACCATCAACAGAACCGATCTATTTCAAGGGAACCATCAACAGAACCGATCTATTTCAAGGGAAACGTCAACAGAAGCGATCTATTTCAAGGGAACCGTCAACAGAACCAGACCTGTTCCTAGAGAGCCGATATCAGAATCAGTTTCCACCGAAATGTCGGAACCGACTACCACAATTTGTTTATTGTCGGGCATTGAAAATTTGCTTTTAAGCCGGATATACATACAGCCGGTTGTCTCCTCCTCCAGCACGAGACAATATATTTGGCCGCTGACACTCGCTAAGCTTCTTCAGACTCTTTTGCTTTATTGGCAACCGCATCAGCATCATCCCAAGTAGAATCAGCAGCATCCCAAGTAGAATCAGCAGCATCCCAAGTAGAATCAGCATTATCCCAAGTAGAATCAGCAGCATCCCAAGTAGAATCAGCAGCATCCCAAGTAGAATCAGCAGCATCCCAAGTAGAATCAGCAGCATCCCAAGTAGAATCAGCAGCATCCCAAGTAGAGTCAGCATCACAAGTAGCGTCTCTAGCAGGAGAATAGGAAGAGAACCTTAAAAGTATTCACCATAAGAGACACTAATTCATCTCGTATTCCATTATCTCGGTCGGGGTGTGGATACAACGCTCGCCTCACTAGCCTGGAAAATCAAGGTGGCCCGGGTTCGAACCCTGTGCTGTGTGTGGGGGAGGACGGACGATATAAGTAACTCGTTCCCCCATGTTATGGCCCCTGGGCATCCGGCAGTAATTGGAAACATGGATAGAAAACGATTGCCGGACCGTGTTTTGGAAAGCAAACAATTAGGGGGGGTATTAAAAGCTGTCAAGCAAACAAGGAAGGTAAGGCTGTTAAACAAGTGAGAGCTTGTTTATCAGCCTGCAAGCACAGAGCCTTAGGAGAAAGAGAGAGAGAGAGAGAGAGAGCTCTTGGCCTGCAAGCACCAAGCTTTTAACCAGCAAACACAGGGAAGCATGTGGTATATTACAGTTTTTAGAAGTTTACCCTTAATTTCACGGTCTGTGGGAAGGCTGTTCACACAGGAGGGTACCCTTCGCTATTTTAGTAATCACCTTATCCACACACCTGAAAACGAGAGTGTCGTCACTGCAGATGTGTGGGCTGGGTGTATATGACACATCTGTCAGAAATGGGCTCTGTCCTTTTCTAACCTGTGAGTAGACAGGCTCATTGCAGCCCGTCTTTCTCAAATGAGAGTACTTATAATAACTATTTAGAGGAAAGTACCAATATGTAGTGATGGACCGCCAGAAAGTACTAATGTGTAGTGATGGACCGCCAGAAAGTACCAATGTGTAGTGATGGACCACCATAATTTACTAATGTGTAGTGATGGACCACCAGAAATTACTAATGTGTAGTGATGGACCGCCAGGAAAGTACTAATGTGTAGTGATGGACCACCAGAAAGTACCAATGTGTAGTGATGGACCACCAGAAATTACTAATGTGTAGTGATGGACCACCAGAAAGTATCAATATGAAGCGATGGACCACCAGAAATTACTAATGTGTAGTGATGGACCACCAGAAAGTATCAATATGAAGCGATGGATAGCCATAAAGTATCAATATGTAGCGATGGACCACCAGAAAGTATCAATATGAAGCGATGGATAGCCATAAAGTATCAATATGTAGCGATGGACCACCAGAAAGTATCAATATGAAGCGATGGATAGCCATAAAGTATCAATATGTAGCGATGGACCGCCAGAAAGTACCAATATGTAGTGATGGTCCACCACCACATATTGGTATATTCTGGTTGTCCATCACTACATATTGGTGCTTCCTCCAAATGGTTACTAAAAGTACTACCACTTCAAGAGGATGGATTGACACGGGTTGTAGTGAAAAGTAAGTACTCTTGTAAGGACGCGCGCACACACACACACACACACACACACACACACACACACACACACACACACCTTAAAAAGTGTGTGTCCCCATCTATTCAGCTGAAGCGTCACAGATTGGAGACCAAAATAATCTGTGTTTCATTTGGTGTTCCTGGAGGCTGGGATGTGATCACATTTGATCACTGTGGCACTGTATTTCCCTTCCCATGTTGTGCATGAGTTGTATTATTGTATTTGGCGGTAAATGACTTTTTTTGTGGGGTGCCAGAGAGGCATTTTAATCACTCAGTTGAGTCATTTTCCCCCCTCCCACCCTTCCTGTTTCCCTTCCATCAAGCATCTCTCCTCTCCAAGGTCATCTCCCCAACCTCTCCCTTCATTTCCTCTGCTCTCAACCACTTAGAAATTACATCCTATAGTATCACCCAGCTTCCCTCACGCCCTCGACCGTGATTGGCTGACTCGTTGGCTGTTAACCAGCATTACCTGTCGCACCCCATTAACAGTAACGAGCGGGCCGACCAGCTAATAACCACCAGCCACTGCTCGTTACACCAGAGTCAACAGATTCCAGGCTGGAGTCTCCTACTGGAAGCCCTCACTGGAAGCCTTCACTAACGAGCGTTGGTCCAGTTGGCTATACCACCCTTCCCACCCCCTTCTCCCTCCCTCCCTCACTACAACCCGTCTTTACAACCTACCCAATTTCGTCCACCATCCCAACTGGGTAGTTAGCTCTTAATTACAGGCGACAATTATCCCTATGTTACCACCGGGGTGGCGTCGCCCAGGCGGAGATTGTGTCTGACTATTGAGCTTTACAACCTCTAATTCCGGACGGCTCTTTACGAGCCGTCAAGGTCTCTCTCTCTCTCTCTCTCTCTCTCTCTCTCTCTCTCTCTCTCTCTCTCTCTCTCTCTCAATCTCTCCTCTCTCTCTCTCTCTCTCTCTCTCTCTCTCTCTCTCTTGTTTGCTAGAGACGTGCAAATTGCATCTTGGGAGGAATGCCACAAATGCAACTGAGGCTTGGATGATCTTGCGCTTGGCTAATATTATTATCTTTCTCGGCTTTGAATCCAGTTTTAACACTTATCACTTTTCACTTCTGATTATATTATCGGGTAATAACGAGAAAATCCACCAGGGCTGTGAGATGGGCTCGAACCTTTGACCCCGGCAGTGTAAGCCGCATATTCCATGCACCACTAGCATTGCCGGGATCTTAAGTATGTTCGTGCCCAGCTTAGCTCGAAAATCCACCCCTAGTAATAGTGAAATATATCTCATGGGAATATGGGATATATCTCATTGATATATCTCACGTTAGTATGATTTCCGTGTGATTAATAACACAAATAATAATAATTATACAAATAATAATAATAACAATATAAATACTAATAATAATAATAATAATAATTATAATAATAATATAAATAATATAAATAATAATATAAATATTCTGAAAGCTCGTATAAGTTCGTATTTGTTTAAATAAATAATGCCTCATTGCTCTGCCTCTGTTGTTGTTCCTTCTCGTTTTATTACATAGGAGATCATCTCAGTGTTTTTGTTTCCTATATTACCATGATGTAATCACGTGTACTCACCTAGTTGTGCTTGCGGGGGTTGAGCTTTGGCTCTTTGGTCCCGCCTCTCAACCGTCAATCTACTGGTGTACAGATTCCTGAGCCTACTGGGCTCTATCATATCTACATTTGAAACTGTGTATGGAGTCAGCCTCCACCACATCACTGCCTAATGTATTCCATTTGTTAACTACTCTGACACTTGAAAAGTTTTTTCTACTGTTTCTGTGGCTCATTTGGATACTCAGCTTCCACCTGTGTCCCCTTGTGCGTGTGCCACCCGTGTTAAACAATCCATCCTTGTCTACCCTGTCAGTTCCCTTGAGAACTTTGTATGGTGTGATCATGTCTCCCCGAGTTCTTCTGTCTTCTAGCGACGTGAGGTGCAGTTCACTCAGCCTTTCCTCGTAACTTATGCCTCTTATTTCTGGGACTAGCCTAGTGGCATACCTCTGAACTTTTTCCTTTTTCCTGAACGTGTGTGTGCGAGTGTAAAAATCAAACCAAATCAAATTTGAACTCCATAAATGGAAATTTAAACTCCATAAATGATTGATTCTGAATAAAAGAGAATTAATCACAATATATATGACTGTCAATAACATTAACATATAATAAATGCTACTATAAGCTCTCAATTGCGCAACACGATACAAGGGATTATAATAGTGGTGAGCACAACACTTATTAAAATATAGCAAAAATAGGGAGTCGGTCGGCCGAGCGGACAGCACGCTGGACTTGTGATCCTGTGGTCCCGGGTTCGATCCCGGGCGCCGACGAGAAACAATGGGCAAGTTTCTTCTTTCACCCTATGCCCCTGTTACCTAGCAGTAAAATAGGTACCTGGGTGTTAGTCAGCTGTCACGGGCTGCTTCCTGGGGGTGGAGGCCTGGTCGAGGACCGGGCCGCGCGGGACACTAAAGCCCCGAAGTCATCTCAAGATAACCTCAAGAAGGCGGGTTGTTTGTTGGTTTAGATTTAGCTACTCTGAACGAAATGTCCATGTAGCACGGGCTACGGTGAGCCCCCAATTGAGTTCGGTTATTGGCGATAACCTTGTTACTCTGATATTTAGGTCAAGGGCAAGGTTGTTGTTGTTATAGATTCAGCTACTCGGAACAAGTTCAAAGTAGCACAGGCTATGGTGAGCCCGTAGTGGACTTACCTGGCGCAGGGGGTAATGACCTCTCATATAGCTGCCACTAGTGGGAGAAGCCTTTACTCCACTTCTCACTGCCTCTATAATACCATCATCATCTAAACTCATTTAACTTTGTCCTTAAGTTAAATTGACGATCTTCAATAAATGCGGAATTAGATGGATCACGGATTCCACATTTGGTAAAAATTGA